TCTCCCCCTAAGGTTGCATCTTTCTGAGACAGAAATTCCCTGCTCATCACCATTCTGCTTGCAATTGCAAGGATCCACGTTTGGGCTCCAAGAAAACAGCCCTCACCTGGGTGAACACCTCCAAGCGTTTGGTGGTCCACAAGCCATCCTGTCTTCAGTGGCAAGGCTTCCTAGATTACGGTGGGACAGTTAGAGTTTCTCTTCTTATTACTCATTTCTTACATACCTCACTTCCAAGGACATCTGGGCACTTTTTTTTACAAGGACTCAAAACTTCTAAATGAGCATTTCCTTTGGACCCACTCACATTTCGCATGCTGAGCTGCGTGTTGTCGGATGTCTGGAGTACTTGCCCTGCCACTCTCCTCGGGGAGTAGGGAATGCTCACTTTGGAGAAAAGCAACCATTTCTGTTAAGAAGTCTTATTCCCATCTAAAGGGATTAAAGTTTTGGCATTACTTCCTCAAGTCTGAGGAATCAAGATGTTTAGAAATGTCCAGGTTGGTATGCTTTGAAACAGAGTTTGTCTGGCTAACAGGGAGAGCCTGATGACTTTCTCTGGCGTTGTCAACCTCTTCTCTGCAAGCGCAGCTCTGTCACTTTCTTTCCAATCAGCCCTTCTTTGTTTCATTCATTTATTCATCCAGTTACCAAATGCAGCAGCATCCTCTGTGTAGGTGTTAGGTGCTAAGGGTATTAGCAAAGAGTAAACCAATGTAGATCCTCCTGTATAGGAGCTTGCCAACCTATGGTGGACGTTTTTGGAAATTCAGAGGAACCTCAAAACGCCCAAGAAAGACTTGTGGAAGACGTGGCAGTTTGAGGCGGGGCTCGGAGAATGAGACAGGAATGAGAGAGCGTGGCCTGCCAAGGATAGAGGAAGGGCAAAGAAGAAGCGCTTGGCAGGCCGTGGAGGTTACCCAGGGCTGTCCTGTCCCCTACAGTGTAACACAGGCCATGTGGGATCTCAGTTTTCTAGTTGCCACGTTTGAAAAGGGAACAGGTGAAATGCATTTTCATTAATTCACCTGGATCAGTATATGTGAAACATTATCATTTCAACATGTAATCAGTATTTTAAAAAATCACTGAGAGACTACATTCTAGTATGTACTTTTCATTTCCAGCACATTCCGACTCGCACTGGCCACATTTCAAGGGTTCCATAGCCACGAGGGGCCACACGGAACGGGACCCCAAGGTCTAGAGTGTGGGGTTTGGAAAGACTGGAGAGGGAGAAATGGTTTTGCAGAGGCAGGAAGTTCATGTCCTCCGGTTGCCAATTACCGAAGTCCCCCGAGAATGACTCAAAGCACAATGTTTATAGATAATTCCTTACATTTGATTAGTGTTTTCAAGAGGAGAGAGCAAGTCCTTTCACCCACGCTGTGGGTTTAAGGCTCATCACCCCCTGTGGTGTAGGCAAGGCAACTGTAATATTTCAGCTCCCTCTGACGACAAGTGGGAAAACTGAGATGTCACGTGTCCTCTGCCTGCCCCTCCTCCTTCTTTTTCTCCCTCCTCGCCCCCCAGTGAGGACCTCTGCACCCAGAGCCAGAGCTGGGCTGCCAATCCTAGGAGACCAGCCTGCTGGAGAGAGGCTGACGGGACCCGCTGCTGTGTGCATCTGCGGGGCTACCGGTCACATCTGTCAAGCAGTGGAGGAAGGAGACTGTCCCCAAGGGACTTAAAGAATTCCTTAATTAGTAGAATGGGAAGAAGGTGAGGTAAAGGGGGAGGGGGCAGTCCCTAGGGCCCCAGACAGCGTGTGGACTAGTGGTTTGTGTCACTGTGTTTTCCGCAACGGTATGGGTACCCAGTTTACCTTCTGGTTCCAGAAGGGGTTGCCCGGGGAGCTGGGTTTTCTGAACATCCTTTGTTTTACAGACGTGGGGACTCAGTGCCCAGAGAGGAAGGAACGGAAGAGACTTTTGCAGGGAAGCTGCCAGATTAGTTTGAAATGTGTTGATCGCAGAGCCGGAAGAGGGTGGCCGGCAGCCAGACCCCCCCTGCGAGGAGGTGGACAGGCTCTTGGGGGTTGGGGGGGCAGGCAGAGTGATCGAGTAGTGGTGGGACCTGCCTCCCTGCTACCTTTGAAAACCAGCTTTATCATCTCAAGATGATACCATGCTTTCTCCTTGAATACTAAAAGTTCGTTCCTGACTCTGGCCGTTCCTAGGGGACTTACTTAGGTTCTTAGGTGTACCTTTCTTGGTGACTGCCCTGCATGCATTTGGTGTATCGATGTAAAGAGATGTGGAAGGTGGTTTCGGCGTATTCTCTGGCCAGCATCACTTCTGTCCCTGGCTGGGGATCAGGGCTGTCCTGTGTCCTAGATGGTACACCCAGGAGCTGCTTCCAAGGGTCTTCCTCTTGAGCCAAGAAATTGAGAATCAAAGTTCCGCGTATCGCGGAGCAGCTAAGCCCGTGAGTCGCTACCGAGCCTGCGTGCTGCAACTACTGAAGCCTGTGCACCTAGAGCTGTGCTCGGAACAAAAGCCACTGTAATGAGAAGCTCCCGTACCGCACCTAGGGAGTGGCCTCCACTCGCCGCAACTAGAGAAAGCCTGCATGCAGCAACAGAGATCCAGCACAGCCAAATATAAAGTAAATCAATTAATAAGTTACTGGGGGAAAAAAAGAAAAACCTTTCCCATTGCCAGAGTGACCTGGGATTTGTCCTCATCTACATGGTGTCTGTAAGACACGGGGAATTACCCTCCGGAGAAAATGAGCTTGCATCCGGTAGAGCCAGTTTTGATCATTCCATTTTATATATATATATATATATATTTGTATTTATTTATTTGGCTGTTCCAGGTCTTAGTTGCAGCATGCAGTTCTTTTTTTTTTTTTAATCTGTGTTGGATCTTAGCTGTGGCTTGTTGCAGCTCGAAGGCTTATTTGCTCTGCAGCATGTGGGATCCCTGACCAGGGATTGAACCTAGGTCCCTTGCATTGGAAGGCAGATTCTTAACCACTGCACCACCAGGGAAGTCCCCATGCAAATTCTTAATTGCAGCATGTGGGATCTAGTTCCCTGACCTGGGATTGAACCCAGGTCCCCTGCATTGGGAGCATGGAGTCTTAGCCACTGGCCCACCAGGGAAGTCCCTGATCATCCCCTCTGGCATCTGAAAGCCCAGGTGATGGAGACTCCATGCTCTTGCCTCCCCACTGCACCCTGGGTAAAGCACTTAACCTCTTTGAGTCTCAGTTTTCCCATTGCTTAAAGGGCAATAATAATTCCCACCCTCCCCAAAGTTCATAGTGAAGAAGAGCTGAAGTTTTATAGTTTAAAATCATACCTAGTCCACAGTTGGCAGGGGGTTTAGGTATTCAGTAAATACTTACTCGATTCTGTCTCGTCTAGTCCTTTTCCTAAATTCAGAAAACCAGAAATGTTTACTTCTCGTTTGATTTGAAATCATTAAAACATTTCAGGAAAGCCTTGGGAGGGACGCAGCAGTGCCTGCATCTTCCGCGCTGGCAGGCACTTGAGAACGAGCCCAGGAATCCAGGGGTTTTTCTGCCAGCCGGGACTGACTCACTCACAAGGGGCCCTGTCTGGCTCCGGGGAGGCCGGGCTGAAGCACCACATGAGGACATGTTCCGGGGAAGTGGATTCTCTGAATAACTCAGGTGATTCCCTAGAGTATTTAGGACAAAAGCCACCTGGAAGACTGAGAGGGTCACCCCCTTATAGCCCAGATGGGGCCCAGGAGGGTTATCACTTAGGCAAGGTTGAGCAGCAAAGACCGTTATCCTGAAGACCCCGGAGGACTGTTTTACACGTTGCTGCTCTGGACATGAGCAGGACTTGCGTGGTGGTTCACACAGTAAAGAATCTGCCTGCGATGTGGGAGACCTGGGTTCGATCCCTGGGTCAGGAAGATTCCCCTGGAGGAGGAAATGGCAACCCACTCCAGTATTCTTGCCTGGAGAATCCCATGGACAGAAGAGCCTGGCAGGCCACAGTCCATGGGGTTGCAAAGAGTCAGACACGACTGGGCGACTAACACTTTCAGACAGGGGAAGGATGAAGGGCCACAGTCTGTGCCTTTCACTGGGGTTAGCATGAGCCATCTTTGAGTCAGGCCTTGCAAGAAACCTTCTTCTTCTGCACAACCTTTCCCCACATCTGGATCCATTTCTGCTGGACGACTGCTGTCGCCTCTCAGTCTCGGGGAGAACTTGGGCTCCCCACCTCACGATTCCCCAGTCGGAGGCCCTGTTTAAGTAGCTGGTGAGAGTTGTGTTGTCTCCATGAGGGAAAGCTGCTGGAACCAGAGGTCCCCGCGATGGATCCAGTTTTAGAGACAAAAAGAAAACACCCTGGAGATGGCTTATTTGAGCTTCCTCACCGTGTAGATCCAGAAAGGGTCAGCATCTCTCCTGGCTCTCAGTCCGGGGACTTAGTCCATGATTCCTCATCTCTCTTCACCCCTCACTGAAGGGTTGGTGTGCCCTCAAGGGAGTGAAGACTTACCCTGGGAGAGGTCATGTCCGTACCCCTGGGCCCCCTGGGCCCCCTCTGGGAGACTTCCCTAGGCTGTTCGCTTTCCCAGCACAATTGATCGTGGGGCTCATGCCTTGGGGAACTTGATGACAATCTTCCCAATATGGGAAACAGTCCACAATCAGTAAATAGTTGTTGGAGGGAATTAAAGCCCTCCTTGGTCTAATTAAGGCCTCTAACCTCCAATTCAGCGTTGGGGCAGGACAACAATTCCCTTCTTTGTGTCTGAAGGAGTCAGAGATTGCTTCGGGCACCTTCTGGGCAGGGTGGCCGTGTGACAGGTTTCCCTGTTTTTCTTCCTCCTTGCGATGTGGGAGACCACCCCCCACCCCCGCCGCCATTCAGACCCTCCTAACTTCGGGTTTTGTTTTGTTTTGTTTTCCTTCTCCCCAGAGTCAGCTTGCAAAAGAAGACCAAGCACACGGCGGAGTCTCCATGGAGGTGTGGAGCCTGGTCACCAACCTCTAACCGCAGAACTGGGATGTGGAGCCGGAAGTGTCTCCTCTTCTGGGCTGTGCTGGTCACAGCCACGCTCTGCACTGCCAGGCCGGCCCCGACCTTGCCGGAGCAAGGTAAGGCGCAGGCGGAGGGCCAGCGCGGGCACATGGCCCCCGGCAGCAGGGTGGGCCAGGTTGGACGTGACGTGCTCAGCCGGGCAGGCGCCATCCCAGGTGAAGCAAAGGGCTCCTGGCCTGCAGGAGAAACCCCTGAGCTGGCTGGGGCCTGCCAGGAAACGCAGCCAGCTTCATCAGAGGTTGGGTTGTGAAGGCCGATGACATCCATCTGCCAGAGGTGACATCCATCTGCTCAGGGTGGGTTTACGCTTTTCTCCTCCTGAAGAAAGAGCTTCTGGTTGGAACCCAAGAGCCAGCTCCCTAAGCTGGATGGTGTCTAAAGTGGGGGCTGGGCAGTGCAGTGGGGTGTAAGTGACCTGTGAATTTGAATTTAGAACTTGGATGGTCTACAGAGGATATGGAGGGACGTGGGAGCTTCGTACAGACCTCTGGCTTCTAGAAATCATTCTGAAGACACGTCTTTGATGAGGGTTGGCCCTCATGGCCACAGGCCTGCTATTCTGTCTTTGACCATGTCTCACAAGCCCTGTTGGGAGGCTTGGTAAGAGGTTTGCTTCGGATAAACTGCTGGAGGGATTTCAAAGAGATTTTGAACGGCGCTGTGGGGCGAGGGTGCTGGTAGAGACCTGTAGTTTATTGGGAGTTCAGAGGGATTTTTAGTAACAGGAAAGACTTGCCCCCACCGCTGATGGCATTTTTCCGGACTTGTGAAAATACCTCGTGGAGATTACAGGTACAGCACACCTGGCAGCTTTTGAAGGTCTTTGAGAACTAATATTTGGGCATTTCTGCTGCCAGGAGGTAGTGTGGCTTATGACTCAGCAGCTGATGACAGAAACAGAGGAGGCTGGCAGGCAGTGGGTGAAGGGCTCAGTCGTGCGTGTGACATAGTGACTGTGTGTCAAGGGCCACCAGTCTCACTCCCAGGACCTGTGTGAGTGGCAGATGAGGAGTGAGCATATTTATCCCCTTGCAGGGTGATGGAGGAGGGAGAAGGGTGAAGGGGGCTTTCTAGAAGCTGGAGCAAGCAGGTACCTGTTGCATTCCATGACAGAACTGAAGGCAGGGCCTGGACTGGAACATATTGGAGACCCTGAGTGGGGCAGGGGGGGCCATCCTACCCACAGGGAGTTCACCATCAGGTAAAGGGTGGCAAGTACAAAGGCAGCTAAACTCAGGGTGGACTGTGTTTAGACCACACAGCGGAGTTATAACAAAGTGCAGTGGGAATGCCAGGGAAGCGGGGCAGCAGAAAGCCTCTGAGATGGTCCAGAGGTATGGGCATGGGGTGGCAAGGAAATGAGGGGTGTTCCAGGTGGAACATTATGAGAGGGTGCTGGGGCAGGATGTATAAGACGTTCGGAGAATGACTCACCTGGTGCATAGGTGGTTGGAGGACATCATGCCTGGAAAAATTGGACTGAGTTAGCGAATGGAAACCTTAATGCCCTGCAGAGGAAACTATACTTAAATGGGGGTAGATACTGGGAGTCTTGAAAAATCTTGAGCAGAAAGCGACATGATGCGGCTTTCAGATTTTCAAGCATTTGAGTTTGGACGGGTGGCAGGAAGAAGTCAGACAGACCTAGGTTCTGGTTGTGCTCTGCCACTTAATAGCAGCATTATGTGCTTTGACAAAATGACTCAAACACACTAAGCCTTAGTTTGCTTATCTTTGAAATGGGGAGAATGACACAGGATGCAGTGAGATAATCCACATAAAGCATTTGCTGGTAAAGCATGGATTAGTTATGACTGCTGCCACCACTGTTGCCAGAGAGATGAGTTACTGTTTTTTTTGTTGCATCGGGTCTTAGTTGCAGCACGTGGGCTCCTTTCTAGTTGTAGCCGGCTTAGTTCCTGCATGGCTTGTGGGGTCTTAGTTCTCCCACCGGGGACTGAACACATGTCCCCTGCATTGGAAGGCGAATTCTTAACCAGTGAACCACCAGGAAGTCGCAGAGGCAAGTTACTTAAATGGTTGTTCTGAATGTCTAGCTGGAGAAAGGGCGTGAACTAGGGTGGGGATTGTAAAAGAAGGAAAAATAGCAGAGATACTATAGAAATAAAACCTATAGGCTTAAGTAGGTTGGATGTCAACTCTGGGTGACTAGAGATACAGACAGAGAGAGAAAGAGAAGTCGTGTCCAACTCTTTGTGACCCCCATAGACTGTAGCCCACCAGGCTCCTCCATCCCTGGGATTTTCCAGGCAAGAGTACTGGAGTGGGTTGCTATTCCCTCTCCAGGGGATCTTCCCAACCCAGGGATTGAACCCAGATCTCCCACATTGCAGGCAGACGCTTTACCGTCTGAGCCACAGGGAAGCCTCAGAGACAGACAAGGCGAGTGTAAAGGCGATGAGTCAGGATGGGAGGTTTGTGAGGAGCAGGTAGAAATTGGGGTCAGCCACAGCAATGGGTGGCCACAAGGAGAGGTGGGTGAGGTTTGAGGATATGAGTTTACGGTCAATCCCAAAGTATTTTTTTTTTCCACTTTCTCTAACAAACTTTTGCAGCCCGGGAATAAGGGTAGAGAAACTGAATAGTAAGCATCTCGAGCCTGGGCTCCTGTAAACAGAAAAGGAATGTCCAAGGGTCCAAGCATAAGGAGTGGGGGGCAGGGGAAAAGAGTCCTGAAGCTTCTGGCTGCATCCAGACTGGGAGAGGAAGCTGGGGAGGGTAGGCAGCGGTGGAGGGCGGAGCTGGGGGGGTTGGTGCTGGAAGTCTTGGTCAGGACGAAGTCCCACTCCCCTGAACAGGAGGGAGGGGGTGGGAGGGGGCTGTTAGGAGGCGATATGATGGTGAAGAAGGAAGGAACAGTGACATGTTTTAAAAAATCAGCTTAACTGAGCTATCACTTACATTCTGTAAAATGCACTGATCATAAGTGTAGAGTTTGGTGTGTTTTGATAAATATCGTATTATTCCACGTAACTACCCCCTCAGTTAAAAAGACATGAAACATTTTCATCGTCTCCAAACCTTGCCTTGTGCCCTCTTTGCAGTCCACTGGACTCGGGCAACGGCGGATCTGCTAGGTGTCACTGTAGGTTAGTTTTGCCTACTCTAGAATTTCTCATGATGGAATTGTCTGGTGAATGAGTATCCCTTCACTTGGTGGTGGCCATTTGAGTTGTTCACACTTTGGGCTGTTATTACTAAAACTGCTGTGAACGTTCATGTATGTTATGTTCATGTACTACGGGCATGAAGCTTTCCCTGGACTGTTCATGTATTATGTTCATGTTCACGTACTACGTACTATGGGCATTACGTGTCCCCTGGACTGCCCCGCTTTTGATTTTGGCTCCATTTCTTACCGACTGTTGCCTGTTGGCTGTCCCTCTCCGCCACTCTGTCATATTTATTGGTAATGAACATCTACTCCAGAGGTCCTTGTGAATATCAGATGTGAATGTCTGCAAAGCTCTCAGAACCCTGGCTGAACATAGTCAATGAACCGTATATGGGAGCTGTGGGTACCTTTTCTGGGGAAGCACCACGTGGTAAGAGGCTTGCTTCATGGCCACACTTGGAATGCCTTAGGATGCAGATGTAGGAAATCCACTCATCTTGATGGGCATTGGGTCCCTGCATGGTTGAGTCAGCCCCTCCCCATGATTATCCATCCTGAGCTTGGTGATGGCAGATCACAGCCCCCACCGTCTGAAACCCTAAGGGAAAATCTTTCTCCATGCTTTGTAAACTACAAGGTATCTCATAAATATAAAGTATTACTGCTGGTTATTGAATGACAATGCCGTTCTTGTCCTCAGAAAAGACTGGACTGTATATAAAAGGTTTGCCCAAAAGTTTAAAACAAACTACCCCAAACCCTGCTGACTGAGAGCTTTTCCCCTTTAGAAAGGCTTTGCTGTGAGTGAGTGTGGTGAGTGTGTGTGTGTGTGTCTTGAGAGCCCCTCCCCCAGTCTGCAAATGCTCCTCGGGGAGTGGGGAGGGCCTGGAGTTTCTGGCTGTCCTTGGAAAGTTGATTTAATAAGGGTTCCAGGAAAACCAGCCTCCCTCCTTCTCCCCCTCTCCTTTCCCTTCTCTGGTTTGGTATCTTAAAGAGGCTGAGCTGGTTTCAGACCAGGCTTTGTCGGGGAGTGGTAGGGGGAGACCGAAGCGGGGTCATGGACCGAGGAGTAAGAATGCCCCTTTAAAAAGATAAGCACTGGCTTGAAAGACACTTTGAGCTTGAAGAGGCTTGTTTCTGTGTATTTTCTCTCTTTTAGAATAAGACTTGGAGAAAAGCTAGTGGACGAATCCAAAACCACTTGCAAGACCACTTGTCACATAGCTTGGGGTTGGGGTCCTGCCCCCTTTTCAAAGCAATAGCCTGGGCTAAAACCCCCAGACCCCATGGTGGAGGGTACAACATGAGACTCTCAAAATACTTGCCTACATGCTCAGAAACCTGCAACTAATAAACGATTTAATGGCTGGGGTTTTACAGCTCCTCCTACCTACCCAGATTTGAAGGAGTCTGGTGGCCGGTTGAAGGGGGAGAGGTTACCCTTAATGGAAAAGCCGCACGTTTCCATTTCTGGCTGCAAGCCCCCTGGAAGCCGGGCGCCACAAAGCGAGGCTTTGTCTTTGTGTGCTGCAGAAACCTGGGCCCGTGGGGGAGGCAGCGAGTGGCGCGGGAGACATCACCCCAGCTTCAAGTCCAGTCCCGGGCCCTGGCCGCCCCAGGCAACTCCCCAGGGGCTCCCCCAGCTCTCCTGGACCCAAAGCAGCATGCATTTCAACCTGGCTGTAGGGGGCAGCCCCAGATCCGTACCAGAGGGCATCTCACTGCTGGCCTCCTACAGGCCGTGGCCCCACTGGCTGCAGCTGATCGGCGCAGCCAGAGGACCGGTGTCTGCTGGGCCAGTGTGTCCAGTGGCTATCCCATCCCATCCCCCATATCAGATCATTTTGCAAAAAGAACGTGTTTGCTTCGGATTCACATGGGGGGGGCGGTCGTTGAAGGGAAGCTGCTTCTCCCCAGTGC